TAAGAATTAAGCACTTTGGCCTGAAATACATGAACTCCTAGTTATTTTATGTAATATAATTCTACAAATAGTAAATCCAGAACTTGAGTGAAGATCACATTCTGATGACTCCATGAATATAATCCCTGTAGTTTCCTTGATAATAATTCAGTAAAAAAATGTAATTGCTTTCTTTGGGGCTTTCCCAGTCTAGCCTACATCGAAAGTACTAACCAATCTGCCCTCCCTCCCTCTCTTTGGCTGGGTATGTCTAGAGACTTGGTGTAACAAGACTTCTCTGAATTAAGCTCAACTTGTGGGATTTGCAAGCATAACAGCAAATGCAATGGACTCTCAATGCTATTAAAATAACAATAAATGAAAAATAAAAGTTGTACCTTTTCGTTCAACCCAAGAAATGGTAGATATAAGCAAGCTTATTAAAGGCCAATGTAAATGTCAGGTACAAGTATATCTACATTTTCTATCAGCACAGTGAGTCTGTTTTTAACTATAATCTTATGAAAGAGATTATTATATAACTAGACTAAAAAAACTATGGCTCAATAATAGAGCATATGCTTTGTATAGAAAAAGTTCCTGTTTCAATCTCTGGCATCTTCAGATGGAATGCAGTGGTAGGTAATCTCTGATGAGGATGAAGGAACTGCTGGATGATTTTCGTGAAATATTTACCACAGAAAGCATATTTCAGTCTGAGACAAAAGGAAATGATAAGATGTGTACTAATATTTGATTGGTTGATTATGTGTCACTAAATCTATGTCAACTCTTACCAACCTCATAAATAGATCTTCTCTGAAATTATCTTTCCCCAAACTGGCCCTTCAAGTCTTCCAAGGATGTACTCATAACTACTGTAATTCAATCCATTCCCCTTACTGCTATTCATTATCTTGTCTTTCCTTCCAGTTTTTCCAGCATTACAGACTGTTCAAGGGAGCTGTGTTCAAAATATGATAATGGAGTCCAGTCATTTGTGCTAAAACTCTGGATTGGTTTCTTCTATGATCTGATTGCTTGTTTACTTGGCTGCCCGTGGTAATCCAAGGAATCTTTTCCAACATCCAAAATTCAAGAGCATCAATGCTCTTTCTATGCTGCTTCTTTAGAGTTTAACTTTCATTTCCATAGAGTATCACAGGGAATATAATTGTTTGCACAATTCTGAATTTCGCTGGTAGAAACATATCGGGCCATGAATATCTCTCCCGAGGCCATCATTGCTATCCCACCAAATTCTAGAACATGACATTTCTTCACTGCTAGTTCTTTTGCTGTTGATAGTTGAATCTAAAAAGCAGCATCTATTCATCACTTCACTTTAGTATCTTTGTTCAGCTCTGGTTGCTGTATCATTGTCATTATTTTGGCTTTCTTTACATTTAAACCATAGTGGTGGGATTCAGCCGGTTTGTACCACTTCGGCAGAACCGGTAGCTAATTTTTTGTTGCCTAGGCCCAGAATAGACTTCTGGAAATGGCATCCACAGAGAGAACCAGTTGCTCACATATTTGAATCCCACCACTGACCGTAGCCCTATTTTTCTCATTGTTGCTACTTGACTTTCAGTACTACAGTTTGCAGATCATTTACATCCACCAGATGCAATACATGGCCTTCCTACAGAGACCATCTTGTGCCATTCTTACAGATAGTGAGAATGGTACCTGCTTCCAGAATGGCTCAAAGCAATCTTTCTAGGAAGGTCATATGAAAGTGAAATGCAACTGATTAAGCACTGTAGCAGTTTTATTTTGCCATGAAGAAATCAAAGTTATAAGCTGAGTTCCTCATATTTTCTATATTTATTTATTGTTTATTTATTCAATTTATATGGCTGCCCATCTATCCACGAAACTCTAGGTTGCATATAAAATAAAAACCAATGAATTTCATTAAACCCTAAACAAACTCCACATAAAACTGTATCAAGCTCAGAAAAACGTAAAAACACCAATCACATGTATATTTATTGTGTTGTCTTGCACATCTCTTTATCTTCATGTAGGATGGGTAATCGTAATATACAGAATAAAATAATCTTTTAAAAGTACATTTTATAACTAGCATCCAAAACAGAGAAATCACTTTAAAGTGCTTAAAGTGGAAAGCAGTTTTCTGGACACTTTATACACATGTATTCATAATTGTAACTTGAGGTACCTAGTTCTTACTGTCATGTGCAGGATATTATTCTATTACTATTTTAATTTATTTGCAGTTGTAATACAAAGCTGTTTGTATTACAGCTGTTTCCTTATTTTAGATAAGCAGACTTCCAATCTGGCACCTGTGCATAGGAAATGTATCTTTTTTTGCTCTATTTATTATGAGTCAGAGAAGAACAGATAGGAACACTTCCTTTCTCCTTTACAGAAAACATCAGTAGAAACAACAGAATTCATGGTTGAATTCAGACTTGTCTCTGGGATCTGAGTTTCATTTGCATTCATCTTTTATCTGCCTCTAACTTTTCCTTTCTTCCTCCTTTGTGCTTGCCTAGCTCATTTCATCTAACCCTCTAAATAAATTCATAGGTAAGATATGGTTCACAAAAGAACTTGTGTTGAAAATGGGTTACATAACAAATCACACTTTTTCCTCCTGGAAAAAGGGATAAAGTTCACTGGGCTTTCCTCAGCTATATTCATGTTAATATTTAAAATCATCCTAAGACTAGATAGGTACTGTTACCACAACTTCTCCTTCTCAAACAAATATTAGAAATAAAAGGAATGAATCAAAGGTGCAAAGATTATGAGAAGATGAAATGTACTGTCTTTTTGAATTCTGTCAAAAATTATTGTACCACTATGAAAATAATTTGCCTTATATTTTTTATCCTGGGATGCATTATGAACGATGTGCTTGTATTCTTGACAAGTGATGGTGTAGATTATCTAGGAAACTAAAGTCTTATTTGATTCAAATGAAACACATTTTAAAAATTGAATTCTTATTAACTACCGCAGGGGCTTTATATGCTTCTTAATGGAAATGGGCATCTAACTCCCTCCGAAAATGTTTTTTAATCAAGTTGGGGAAGTATGTTTCAATGTCCAAAATAATTTCACTTTAAAAGTAAATCTGACATAGAATTTAATTCAAAATGGAAACATTCCTGGACCAAACCTTAATATATTTGTATGCCATCCAACATTCTTTTATGTAAAAAGTTCATATTTCAGTTTCATGTGATTTTTTTTTAAAGAACAGAGTCTCAGTTTGACGCAATCTATTTTAACTTACAATTTTATATGGTGAGTTGTACTGTGTTCACCATGGTTCTTGATATTTATTCTTGCTTAAACCTTAATAGTGATTTTAATCATTTAAAGTGATATAATGATAACTATGACGTCTTTGACTTTGTTCTGATTTTAGATAAATTTTTACTCATTTGTGCTTTATGTTTTTGGTTTTGAAATTTGTTTTCTATTTTCTATTTGCGTTTATATACTTTCTCTAAAAAGTCAAAGAAAAGCCAGTTTGAACAAGTGGTTAAGGTGGTGACTTAGGAACTAGCAGACTGTGTGTTTTAGTCCGACCTTAGGTCTGAAAGCTGGCTGGGTGACTTTACTTGCTCAGTTACTTGCTCAGCCCAACCCACCTCATAGGGTAGTTGTGGGGAAAATAGGAGAAAGAATATTAGGTATGTTTGCCCCCTTGAGTTATTTATAAACAATAAGAAAGGTAGAATCCAAATCAAATAAAGAAAAGAAAAAAGTCACTTGAATTGAGCTGACCTCCTGGGGACTTGACAGATTTAAGACAGAATTAAAGTGGTGGCAGCCCAGAACAAAAATCAATTCACTTACTGCAGAAGAGAAAGGTAGTAGCTGGCTTACAGGTATTGCAGACCTTATGCTGGAAAGAAATGACTTTTTGCCCAGGCAAACAGACCAGTGATCTAGCTGCACGCTGCTATTAGTACTATCAATAGTGAACTATTGAGGATTGGCATGTACTGTTCTGGCACCCCAGTGTAAGAGTAGGAATACAGCAACCTCTTGGCCTGCCTTGTCTGGATACGGAGCCACACTCTCCTTTTAGTCTAAGGGGGTAGGATTGGTAACACCTAGATGAGATCAGCCTCTGCTATCCTAACTGTCTCCTCCTCAGGAACTAGCTGCATACAATCAATGGAGGGCCATGCATTTGAGGGTCCTGCCATTAATTGCTCCTTCCATAGATTCCTACAATAGTCAGGCCTACATTTGTCTGATAGTCTTCCCCCCCAAGGCCAGGGATATGGCTTTCCAGGATTTTGTGCATCCTGAGGAGGATCTCTAGAAAGTACTGAAATCTGAAGCACAACCTCTTTCCTCCTCCGTGTAGAAAAATCTTTGAGCTTGTAGGGAGGAATGGAATTCCTTGCTTTGTTTCATAATAACGCTGCAGGTCACCTTCCATTCTTCACCCCCTTACACCTAGTTCATGAAACAAGTGGCACAGAGTATATATGAAGTGCAATGTCAGCAGTTGTGCCTCCGTTTTACCTTCTGCGGACAGCACAGCAAGGATGACATCCCTATGTTGCTAAAGAGAGTAACAGAGTGAACCGAGTATCCCAGAAGCAGCCGAGGGACAGAAACGTCTCCTTTGCAAGCATATTTGGATCAGAAAAAAATAACTATTTGCTGTTCCTCTTAGTGGACTTCAGACTGGGGAGTTTTAGCACATCAAGCAACTACAAAGTTCAGGGACGCTACCGTGCACTATCTGACAAATTCAAATATTAACGTGGTCCCACCACATTGGTCGCTTTGCAGCCCCTTCTCCGTCCCTTCTGTCCTTTTTTTCTCTCAGTCCGGCAAGCTGCCCAGCTATCCTATTTCCCAACGTTCTTTTGCAAGCAGAAAAGAATGTTATCCGACTCACTCGTTATCCAATAAGCATCAGAGAAAGCTTTATGATGGGGGCCCTTAACCAATGAAGAAAGGGGCGGGACCACAAGGGCGGGGGCGTTGAACTTTCACAGCTGGCTTTATTAGACAGTTGCAGTTGGGCGGCGATCGTGGTAGTTGGGACAGTGCAGCTTTTGGGAGTGGCTCCCCTTTTTGCAATAAATATCTTGGACATACGGGCTCCGCAGCCGAAAGCGTCCCATCTCTCTTAGGGTCGAGGGTCTCCGAATCTCTCAAAATGGCCGGCAGTCGAGATTGCGCTAAGGAGCAGCTGAAGCGCTGGCAAGAGCAGCGGGGCTCCCAGGTACCGACGCCGCCCCCCCCCCCCGTCCCGGCAGAGTCTGTGCTTCTGGAGCGTCCCCGGGAAAGCGTCCCCGCTGTCCGGCAGCGCATCCGGGGGTGGGCGGAGGGCATCAAGCTGGAATAGAGTGATGTAGTGTAGTATATTGTTACTCGAGCAGAGAAGCGTGTTTTGTGTTTTTTGATGGGAGGAGAGAGCAGAGAAGACGGAGTGGAGATGCGGGGTTAATAACGGAACAGGGAGCTGCAATGGGTCTCTGGGAGGAGAGTAGACTGGCTAAGGAATAGTTTCAGAAATAATTTATCCTAGGTGTAATGGGGGTCTGTCCAAAATGTGATCTGGTTGCGTAACTCTATATGTCTGTGTCTCTCTCTCTCTTGCAATAACTAAGTAGTTTGTTATTTGGGTACTAAGTTCAATTCAGCTAAAATATCAAGTAGATAAAGATTGACCAAGGGGTAATGTAATACTGTGGATTGTTGGGAGAACTCTGGGAAAAAGTGGTACTTTGTCCTTTTCTTGCAAATTAGTCTAACATAGCTAATGTCTGTATTTGAGGAACTGGATTGCCCTGATAACAATAGTTAAATTATCAGTGATATTCATGTTGTCCTGGAATGCAGTTTAATAACTTACTCTCTTTTGTGTCAGTACAAGGAAGGAAGATACTTTCTCAGCATCTATCATATTCTGTCAAATATGATATGCAATATATATCACCTTACAAGGAGAAGCTATAAGTCCTGGTACAATCCATCAGTACAAAAGCTTTTTGAAGCTTATCTTCAAGAGAAATAAATTTATACTTGATCACTGGTATCTGTTGGATTGAAAGAAATTGGTATACTTTTGCAGAACTGTTGACAGTTTACTAAGGCTAGTTAGTAATTCTGAGAAGTAGGTATCATAATTCAAATCAGATCATTATTTCAGTTATCAGAAAAAAATCTACAGACTTGAATGCTTACTTCTTTCCTACTCAGTTTCTCTTTCCTTATTCACCTTTGTCAGCTTTCAAAACAGATATGGGTGGGTTCACATTTTGGGCTAAGATGTAATACAGTTGCTTTGTAATTTAGCATTGTGAACCTAACCATCTTGGATTGTAATTCAAGATTTATGGCGTAACTGTGATATCTGAACTCAGTAGCTTATTCCACAGATCATGGTTAATAACATGATTTATGGCATTGTTTGGACCTAGCTTGTAGTTTATCCTTCACTTTCTAAGTTGAATGGAAATCTGCTCAAATTAATATGTTTGATTCTGAATTGAAATATTTTTCAATTTGAACTATTAGAATAGAGAAGTAGGAAATATCAGTTTATTTGTGGTCCTTCGCATCATACTTTTGAGAATTGCTAAAAGTATGAATGCAATGATGCATTCATGAAGCAGATGAAGCAATCTTTTTCATTTGTGCATTAGTAATTTAATGCAATAAACTGCAAGCATAAATATATGAAAACTCAACAAAATGATAGCCCTTTTTATTGTTTTTATTTTTTCTTTTATTTAATAATGTGATACTAATTGTTTATTTTAGACTATTTTGATTCTGATGTTTCTGTAATAGAATGAAAAGCATTAAAGTTGATTTAATCATTTGAATGCTTTTGTTTACATTGTAGTAAAGGTGAAATTTATATTCCCTTCAGCATCTTTCAAAGGAACCTTAACATTTTGATACATAATTTAACAGATTTAACCTGGATAGCAAGCAGATGATTCTTCAGCTTAAACATTGTTTTGTATTTTTATAATTCTAACTAAACTGTATGAAAGATGGCTGTGTACATGAGTGATCTTCAGTTTGTATGACAAGTTTCTTTTGCTGTTCTCTCCTTCGCTCCCTTCCTAATCTGCAACCTGCAAAACAGATCTAGAGTATGTGCAACAAGTAGAGTTTGGGAGGATAGTTCAGTCCACCAAAGTTATCCTTTTAAATCAGATGAAAATAATTAGATACAGTCATACGGTATTATTAAAGGTTTCAATCCAAATTTATTTCAAGAATTGCTTCAGCTCATAGAACTTACTAAATATGAGTTCATTATGAAGATAAATTTACATGTTGAGGTGAAATGCATTATTGTGACTAGCACTCTTGACCTGCTGGCTTCTACTTGTCTATCCTCCGTGATAAATGGTAGAAGAGGAGAATAAGCAATTGTAGGGATTAATTCCATCTCTTGGCTCTGTCCTATCAGAAAATCTTCCAGAAATCATTTTGAAAAAAAACCAATGGTAAATTGGGAGTATGAGAACATGTTCTGCCTATTAGGGGAGATAAAGAGATATAGCATCACAGTTTGTCTTCAAATATAAACATAGTCTTCAGTTAAAAACCACTCAGTGGTGTTGCACAAATGGTACTTATGATCACGTCCTGGCCATCCCAACATTCCTGCAGTAACTTGCACTTGCATGGAAAGCTCCATTTGCACGAGTAGAAGGCATGTGCGCCTGCTGCTCGTGCAAATGGAGCTGTGTAAGTGCGCCTGTGCGCCTGCCACACAGACAAACACGCCGGGCCACCAAGCTGTGACGGCTGCTCTAAATACTTTTTACAACTTTTACATAAGTGAACAAAGCAACTAAGAAAACCAGTGTTAAGATCTACAAAATATCCAAGATGAAGAATAATCTTGTTATTATTTTACTGCCTTTTTTGTTTTTGTAGTTACTGATATGTCAACAGTTGTGTGTCCTTTTAGGATAGTGATTTCACTGCAAATGCTTGCAGGAGAAAAATGAAGGATAAAACATTTATCAAGCAATTTGCAGTGGGGGAATATTCCTGTTTTGTTCAGTCTGCTCTGAAACCTAGAATTTGATAAATGCACTGCACAAATGCATTAATACAAATTTAGTAAATAGGGTGTGGACAAAATGATTTGATTAGATTTGTTTTACTCTATAAATGTACTGCCTTTTCTTATAAGCACATAATAAATTAAATTACTACTGCTACACTAACATTTTAAAACTTAATTAAATTTGAAAGTGGTTAATTTGATTACTCTCCAGCTGTTTGTATGCTATAGTTATTTTCCCCAACTTTTGTATTAAAAAAATACAATGTAATAATAGGTCATAAAGATTTTTGATATTGCAATGGCCCTGAGGCCACTTTTTAATGCCTTTCTTATCCATGCAGCACAGCAGTTTAAAAAAAACAAAACAGATTTATCGAAAGTTTTGGAAGTGTGGGAATATTTTTTGTTTTATGAGGTCTCGTGATGAAACTTCCCTGGAGCATGCAACTAGACATATGCAATAATGTATAGTGATTGTCTTGTTCACTTGACTTGACACACCTTAATTTGCCACATCACTGCAGTAAGGGATATATTATCCACCTTCTTGGGCATTGGAGAATTTTCTCACTTGATTTTATAATCAAGCTCTCAACCTTTTGAATGTTTCAACTATGTTGGAATGTAGTTGAATATAGTTTCAACTGTATTCCAACTATGTTGGAAAACTACTTTTCGACACACAAGAAAAGATCAGGAAAACTTTTTCTTTATTATTTATTATGCACTCAGATCTCTTGAGTGTAGTATATCTACCAATCTTGGTTAGAAACTTTTATTATAAAACTATTCTTAAGAATTGCGCTTATTATAAAGATTATGGATATATCCCCAGATCCATCACATGTTATGGAGTAGCATGGTGTATTCTATACTACCTGAACTACAACATTTGAAAGGTATTACAGGACGATGGAATTGGTAAATTATCTCCTGACTGATTTTTGTCAGCATGGACAAGGAGCAAAAGAAGAACAGTAGCGTAAACTTGTCCAAACCTCATCTTTACATTGGTGTTGTATTCCTTTTGCAATATTTTTCATCTCCAACTGAAATAGTAACATTGAGTGACTTGTTAATGGAAGCCAGAAATCTTTTTATGCATATTTATTAATGTCAACAAATCCTCAGATTGCTGTTACTAAAGGAAAATAATTTATCACTTAAACGTTTGTCTCTCTGTGCCCTCTATTAAATTAAATTATTTTTTTTGAGTTTGTTCTTTAAATTACCTAGAATGCTTTATCCATGTTGTTTCTAAATAGAATAAATTTCTAAATTTCTTCAAGTGAAAAAGTAGGTTCCAGTTTGTTAGCAATTCCTAAGGAATGTCATTGTTCATGATCCCTGTTTCTTATCTTTGTTATCTTCATTTTTGAGTGGGATGCATTGGACTATCCTGTTTAACACTGGATGATTTGAATACCTAGATAAATCAACATTTGCTAAATGCTATTCTTGTCAATCATGAATTATGAAGAATGCATGAATCATCAAAAATATGAAACCAAGTGCAGAATTCCTGGCTGCAATTCCCCAATGTTGCTTCTTTAAGGCAAAAGTAAAGCTAAGGTTGAAATCTGGTCTTTCCTTGAGTAAAATGCTGGGGCCACATTCAAAAATATTACATATAAGACAACTAAGAAGATAATTTAATGGCTTGTTTACAAGTACAGCAAAGTCATAAGATTTGTCAAGAGATTGGAAGTGTGGGAATATTTCTTGTTTTATGAGAGCTGCTGATGAAACAGCCTGAAACATGCAATTGAATATATACAGTATATTAATAATAATAACATTAAAAATAAAAGTATGATTCCTGGGTATATTCATCTTATGAAAAACCAATAAAACATGACCACCAGGAATATTATAAACTAAAAAAGTTTAATACAATCACCAATCACCAAGCTTTCGTCGGAAGCTACCGACATCGTCAGGGTTCAATGCTGGTCAATGGGAGAGTTCATTTATAGGCAGGATGCTGTTTCCACGCGGCTCCTGGACCTTGTCACTGGTCCTAATTGGTTAAGTTGCACTCTGGTCGTAACTTCCGTATCGATGGCAGCACCTCTCCTGCCTGCATATATATAGCTACTCATTCTCCCCTTGTATAATCCTGAGTATATTAATAATCCATGGAAACCATAGTGATTCTCTGCATACCTATTGCTTGACATACCTTAATTTATCATGTTGCTGCATGTAACACAAGTGACAAAGTTAATCCATGTTCTGGCATTGGGGAAGCCATTTGGTCCTATAAATAAACTTTCGGCCTTTTGAATGTTTCACAAACCTCTTAAAATAGCAAAGACTTCTTTTCAAAGCATGTGAAAAGATTAGGAAAATTCAATTCCCATCCTATTGATTTTTTTTTGCGTGCATGTCTCAAGTCATGTGCTGCTCTATCTAGCTAATTCAGAGCTCTTTTGAGTGCAGTATTTGTTTTGTGATGAATGATAGACATGTGCGATACTTTTCCTCCAAAGCAGGAAAAGTTGTTCAAGAAAGTACTTGAGTTCAGGAAACATTGCAGAGGTGGCAACAAGGTCCAGCCCTCTGTCATTGCCTTATTGCCATGTCCTTTAAACTTCTTTAAGTGAACAGCACATGAGCCTGAAAGCACCTATGCAAGCAAGAATCTATGCCAGTGATGGTGAACCTTTTAAACATGGAATGCCCAAAAATGCCCCACTCACCCCCACTCTGTCCCCCCTGCCCCCGCCTGCCTGGAGGGCCACCTACCACCTCCCATAGCCTGCCGCAGCAGATTGCCCAGGCAGCCCTGCAGCGCCATGGCAGCCACGCCCTCTGTCCGGGCCATGCAGCATCATCTGTGCGTGATGGGGTTGAGAGCGGAGTCTTGTTCCTGCTGCCCAGCTGCCATGTCCTTGGCTGCACTGCTCCGCGTGGGCTGCGCCTGGAGGCAACTCTCCTCTGGGGGGGCTGCTGGTGTGGAGGGAGTCGGGGTTAGGGTTAGGCGGGGCTGGGGCGATGCATGACCACAGAGAGGGCTCTGCGTGCCACCTCTGGCATGTGTGCCATAGGTTCGCCACCACTGATCTATGCAGTTCTACTAAGGGGCTGCCCACAATAGAGCAAGAAGCCATTGTTGGATCTGAAGTACTGTTACTGTTTTTGGATACAGATACCGAACATTATAAAGGTATAGATGTAAGAAATGTAATTTCCTAAATCTTCTGACATAGAAATCTAATACCCTTGAACTGAAGACCTTTATTATAAAACATCTTTGAAAAGAGTTGTCAGAGATTCTAAGAATTGTGGTTATATTCATTTGCTGACTCAGAGAAACTTCTATCAAGGAAAAAAAAACACCTCTCTGATGTCAGTATAGCTTGATTTAAAGAATAGTCTCTTTTTGTTGTGGTACCTGTTCTTGAGAGCATCATCTCCTTTAGGAATTACTCTTCTGGCCATTTGCAAAACAGTAACCCTGGTTATGCTATTGATCCTGGGCCCTGATATAGCAGGGGTGAGTCCACTAAATGGCTTGTGTGAGCCATTGTATGAATGTAATCGGCTACTATATTTAATTGTTTTTAATTCTGGTTGTTTCTATTGTTTTTTCTTCTGTTTTAATTGTGAGCCATCCAGAGTCATGTATATAAGATGGATGGCCTATTCATTTATTAAACAAATACATAGATATGGTCTCAGCTCCCTTTCAGAACTAGCCCTAATAACAATTTGGCTTACTTCTTAAATATTTCAATCTGGAAATATATGTAACCAGGAGAATGTTTTTAAATGTTGCACTTTTCTTCCTTTGGTGTGGTGTTATTTGGAATTTTATTGAGTGCATAGTTAATCTCTTTATTCATATAATGATATAATAAAAGTCTAAGATAAACATTTCCCTGTAGCTTCAGGAAGCAAATTTCATCAGATGTCTATCAAATTAATCTGGGATTGCTTTCAAGTGACCACAAAAAAGTTGTGGATGCTTTTGTTGTTATAATTGTGATTCTTGTTTTGAACCTAGGAATGCGATTGCTTAACCACAGGAGCAGGAATCCCAGTGGGAGACAAGCTGAATGTCCTGACCGTTGGTCCAAGAGGTCCACTCCTGGTTCAGGATGTGGTTTTCACCGATGAGATGGCACACTTTGACCGAGAGAGGATTCCCGAGAGAGTTGTCCATGCCAAAGGAGCTGGTTAGTTTTTGAACTTGCATTGTGTCTTTCTTTTTAGCCTTATTAGTGGGGTAATGTTACAGTGTCCCTTATAGAATGTAGGTACGTTTTTGTGATTGACAGTGCTGAAACTGTGTCTTGTATGCGTTTAATCCAGGCATGTCCAAAGTCCGGCCCGCGGGCCATTTGCGGCCCGCGGCCCGGTTTAATCCGGCCCTCGAACAGCCCTCCCTGCACTATGTAAATGCGGCCCTCCCACGGCCCTCCGGCAAGTCCCATGAGAGAGAGAGAGAGAGAGAAAGAGAGAGAGAGACAGAGACAGAGGCACTTGCACTTGCACTTCTGTCTCTCTCTCTCTCTCATGGGACTTGCCCCCTCGCAGGGCTCCTCATTGGCCCTGCGCCCGGGTGTCCCGCCCCTGGGAGAAGGGCGGCCAGGAAGTCCCTTTCCCGGGCTGGCCCCGTCCCAGGCGCACGTG